GAGTGTGTGCAGAGTGGTGACAGAGTGTGTCACAGAGTGTGTCGCAGAGTGTGTCGCAGAGTGTGTGACAGAGTGTGTGACAGAGTGTGTCGCAGAGTGTGTGACAGAGTGTGTCACAGAGTGGTGTCACAGAGTGTGTAACGGTGTGTCAGAGTGTGTAACAGAGTGTGTGACAGAGTGTGTCACAGAGTTGTGACAGAGTGTGTCACAGAGTGACAGAGTGTGTGACAGAGTGGTCACAGAGTGTGTGACAGAGTGGTGTCACAGAGTGTGTCGCAGAGTGTGTGACAGAGTGTGTCACAGAGTGTGTCGCAGAGTGTGTGACAGAGTGTGTCACAGAGTGTGTAACAGAGTGTGTCACAGAGTGTGTGACAGAGTGTGTGACAAGTGTGTGGCAGAGTGTGTCACAGAGTGTGTCGCCAGAGTTTGTGTGGACAGAGTGTGTCACAGAGTGTGTCGCAGAGTGTGTCGCAGAGTGTGTGTACAGGAGTGTTGTGACAGAGTGTGTAACAGAGTGTTGTAACAGAGTGTGTCACAGAGTGTGTCGCAGAGTGGTGGTCGCAGAGTGTGTGACAGAGTGTGTCACAGAGTGTGTCGCAGAGTGTGTGACAGAGTGTGTCACAGAGTGTGTCGCAGAGTGTGTCGCAGAGTGTGTGACAGAGTGTGTGACAGAGTGTGTAACAGAGTGTGTAACAGAGTGTGTCACAGAGTGTGTCGCAGAGTGTGTCACAGAGTGTGTCACAGAGTGTGTAACAGAGTGTGTAACAGAGTGTGTAACAGAGTGTGTAACAGAGTGTGTGAAAGAGTGTGTCACAGAGTGTGTCGCAGCTAAGAGTGTGTCACAGAGTGTGTACATGAGTTGTGTACAGAGTGTGTCACAGAGTGTGTGACAGAGTGTGTCACAGAGTGTGTAACAGAGTTTGTAACAGAGTGTGTGACAGAGTGTGTGACAGAGTGTGTGACAGAGTGTGTGACAGAGTGTGTCACAGAGTGTGTAACGGAGTGTGTCACAGAGTGTGTAACAGAGTGTGTGACAGAGTGTGTCACAGAGTGTGTGACAGAGTGTGTCACAGAGTGTGTAACAGAGTGTGTGACAGAGTGTGTCACAGAGTGTGTGACAGAGTGTGTCACAGAGTGTGTCGCAGAGTGTGTGACAGAGTGTGTCACAGAGTGTGTCGCAGAGTGTGTGACAGAGTGTGTCACAGAGTGTGTCGCAGAGTGTGTCGCAGAGTGTGTGACAGAGTGTGTGACAGAGTGTGTGACAGAGTGTGTCAGCAGAGTGTGTCGCAGAGTGTGTAACAGAGTGTGTGACAGAGTGTGTAACGGAGTGTGTCACAGAGTGTGTCACAGAGTGTGTAACAGAGTGTGTGACAGAGTGTGTCACAGAGTGTGTCGCAGAGTGTGTGACAGAGTGTGTGACAGAGTGTGTGACAGAGTGTGTCACAGAGTGTGTCGCAGAGTGTGTCGCAGAGTGTGTGACAGAGTGTGTGACAGAGTGTGTGACAGAGTGTGTAACAGAGTGTGTAACGGAGTGTGTCACAGAGTGTGTCGCAGAGTGTGTCACAGAGTGTGTCACAGAGTGTGTAACAGAGTGTGTCACAGAGTGTGTCGCAGAGTGTGTGACAGAGTGTGTCACAGAGTGTGTCGCAGAGTGTGTGACAGAGTGTGTGACAGAGTGTGTGACAGAGTGTGTGACAGAGTGTGTAACAGAGTGTGTCACAGAGTGTGTCACAGAGTGTGTCGCAGAGTGTGTGACAGAGTGTGTAACAGAGTGTGTGACAGAGTGTGTGACAGAGTGTGTAACAGAGTGTGTCACAGAGTGTGTGACAGAGTGTGTCACAGAGTGTGTAACGGAGTGTGTCACAGAGTGTGTGACAGAGTGTGTCACAGAGTGTGTCACAGAGTGTGTCGCAGAGTGTGTGACAGAGTGTGTAACAGAGTGTGTGACAGAGTGTGTGACAGAGTGTGTAACAGAGTGTGTCACAGAGTGTGTGACAGAGTGTGTCACAGAGTGTGTAACGGAGTGTGTCACAGAGTGTGTAACAGAGTGTGTGACAGAGTGTGTCACAGAGTGTGTCACAGAGTGTGTCGCAGAGTGTGTCGCAGAGTGTGTCGCAGAGTGTGTGACAGAGTGTGTCACAGAGTGTGTCGCAGAGTGTGTGACAGAGTGTGTCACAGAGTGTGTCGCAGAGTGTGTCGCAGAGTGTGTGACAGAGTGTGTGACAGAGTGTGTCGCAGAGTGTGTGACAGAGTGTGTCACAGAGTGTGTCACAGAGTGTGTCGCAGAGTGTGTGACAGAGTGTGTCACAGAGTGTGTCGCAGAGTGTGTGACAGAGTGTGTGACAGAGTGTGTGACAGAGTGTGTAACAGAGTGTGTCACAGAGTGTGTCACAGAGTGTGTCACAGAGTGTGTCGCAGAGTGTGTGACAGAGTGTGTCACAGAGTGTGTCGCAGAGTGTGTGACAGAGTGTGTGACAGAGTGTGTGACAGAGTGTGTAACAGAGTGTGTAACGGAGTGTGTCACAGAGTGTGTCGCAGAGTGTGTCGCAGAGTGTGTCGCAGAGTGTGTAGCAGAGTGTGTGACAGAGTGTGTGACAGAGTGTGTAACAGAGTGTGTCACAGAGTGTGTCACAGAGTGTGTCGCAGAGTGTGTGACAGAGTGTGTGACAGAGTGTGTGACAGAGTGTGTGACAGAGTGTGTCACAGAGTGTGTCACAGAGTGTGTGACAGAGTGTGTGACAGAGTGTGTCACAGAGTGTGTAACGGAGTGTGTCACAGAGTGTGTAACAGAGTGTGTGACAGAGTGTGTCACAGAGTGTGTGACAGAGTGTGTGACAGAGTGTGTCACAGAGTGTGTCGCAGAGTGTGTGACAGAGTGTGTCACAGAGTGTGTCGCAGAGTGTGTCGCAGAGTGTGTGACAGAGTGTGTGACAGAGTGTGTGACAGAGTGTGTAACAGAGTGTGTAACGGAGTGTGTCACAGAGTGTGTCGCAGAGTGTGTAACAGAGTGTGTGACAGAGTGTGTAACGGAGTGTGTAACAGAGTGTGTGACAGAGTGTGTCACAGAGTGTGTCACAGAGTGTGTAACAGAGTGTGTGACAGAGTGTGTCACAGAGTGTGTCACAGAGTGTGTAACAGAGTGTGTGACAGAGTGTGTCACAGAGTGTGT